TGGACAGTCTGAATGACTGCATCGAATGCATGATGAATGACTGAATGAATTTAATGATGGAAATGATGAATGAAATCGAAAGAATGGAATGACTAAATGATGGAATGATGAATGAATGAATGAATGAATGAATAACTGATGGAATGATGGAATGCATGCAATGAATGAATAACTGATGGACTGATGAAGCAATCCATCCACCCATCATTCCAATATCCATCATCCATACCTTCATCCATCAATCCATCCATCCATCCATCTTCCATCATTCTTTCAATGCAATTCATACAGCATCTATCCATCATCCATCCATCCATCTTCTTTCCATCCATCACAATCCATACTTCCATACATCTATACCATCCACTCCATCCTTCCATCCATACATCATTGCATCTCATCACTTCCTTCATCATACATCTTTCATGCATTCACATCCATCTTCCTTCAATCTATCATCCAGCACATCCATTCTTTCAGCCATCCATCATCCATCCATTCATCATCCAGTCCATCTTCTTTCACTCCATTCTTCTGAGTATTACTCCATCCATCCTGCCATCCTTCATCTATCCATCCATCCTCCATCCATCCTTCATCTTCCTCTCCATCATTCCTCTCAATCATCAATTCCAATCCTTATTTACATTTCAGCTCATCATCCATCCTTCCATCCCTGCCATTCCATCTTTCCCATCATCCATCATCCATCCATCATCATCCCATCCATCCAGACATTCCTTCATCAAGTCAATAAATCAATTCATTCATCCAGCTGCCTTCCTTCTCATCCTATCAACTCCTTCAAGCATCCCTTCAGCGATCTATCCATCCATCCATCCATCCATCATCCTCCTTTTCAAGCCATCCAGTCATGTCATTAATCAATCTCCCATCATCCATCCATCCATACATGCAGCATCCATCCTTCCAGCATGCCTACCTTTATGCACTTCTTCACTTCCTTGCCTTCCATACCATGCACGTCCATCTTCCTTCTTCTGGCACAGCTTCATCCAGCCTGGAACCATCCCTAGCAGGCCTTGCAGCCATCCACTTAACGACCTATACTGCATACTTCACTGCATCCTTACTTCTGCCTTCAGCCATCCATCCTGCCATCAGACATACATCTGTCACGCTGCATGACTTACTGGGACTGCTAGCATAACTTCTGGACATGCATCGTGACACATGCATGACATCACATCATTCCATCATCATCCTCCATCCATCCATCCATCCATCCACCCACCCATCATTCCATCATCCATCCACCCATCCATCCATCATTCCATCCATCCATCCACCCATCCATCCACCCATCATTCCATCATCCATCCATCCATCCATCCATCCATCCACCCATCATTCCATCATCCATCCATCCATCCATCCATCCATCCATCCATCCATCCATCCACCCATCATTCCATCATCCATCCATCCATCCATCCATCATTCCATCCATCCCCCCATCATTCCATCATCCATCCATCCATCCATCCACCCATCATTCCATCATCCATCCATCCATCCATCCATCCATCCATCCATCCATCCATCCATCCATCCATCCACCCACCCATCATTCCACCATCCATCCATCCACCCATCATTCCATCATCCATCCATCCATCCATCCATCCACCCATCCATCATTCCATCCATCCATCCATCCATCCACCCATCATTCCATCATCCATCCATCCATCCATCCACCCATCATTCCATCATCCATCCATCCATCCATCCATCCACCCGTCATTCCATCATCCATCCATCCATCCATCCATCCATCATTCCATCCATCCACCCATCATTCCATCATCCATCCATCCATCCATCCACCCATCATCCATCCATCCATCCATCTATCCATCCATCCATCCATCCATCCATCCATCATCCAACCATCATCCATCCATCCATCCATCCATCCATCCACCCATCATTCCATCATCCATCCATCCATCCATCCACCCATCATTCCATCATCCATCCATCCATCCATCCATCCATCCATCCACCCATCATTCCATCATCCATCCATCCATCCACCCATCATTCCATCATCCATCCATCCATCCATCCATCCATCCATCCATCCATCCATCCATCCATCCATCCATCCACCCATCATTCCATCATCCATCCATCATCCATCCATCCATCCATCCATCCATCCATCCACCCATCATTCCATCATCCATCCATCCATCCATCCATCCACCCATCATTCCATCATCCATCCATCCATCCATCTATCCATCCATCCATTCATCCATCCATCCATCCATCCATCCATCCATCCATCATCCAACCATCATCCATCCATCCATCCATCCATCCACCCATCATTCCATCATCCATTCATCCATCCATCCATCCACCCATCATTCCATCATCCATCCATCCATCCATCCATCATTCCATCATCCATCCATCCATCCATCCATCATTCCATCATCCATCCATCCATCCATCCATCCATCCACCC